TTTGAACAAAACCATGTGTTGTTATTTCTAAAGCTATAATAGTGCGTATAATAGTTTTTACTTAGTGTCCTCCGATATTTATCCTGTCAGAAAGTGTTTGTGCAACGGAATATGTTTGCGCGCGTCTTTTTGGCGCCAATTAATTTTCATTCTGTTTATTTATTTTGCGTAGTAGATTGCTTTTTCAACGAAATTAATTTCAGGGAAAAAAAATAGTTGCACCACTAATTATAGCAGACAGCTGTTATATTCGGTTTAAAAACAGATAGAAACAGATCGAGTAAGGACTTGTGAATCAAATGTATTTAAACAATTTTACTTATCATGTACTCATAGCTAAATCAATGTTTTTTAACCTTGACTATTCTAACGATAAATCATGGTATTTCACACCTTATTAGTCGTATCTGTTTTTATTTTATGATTTCATTTTTTAGTGAAATCCAGTTCAAGAAAATATTCTGTTTCAATAAATAATTATTTTAGCAGACATTTAAAAAGACAGTTAAACAAATGTATTCAACAGTAAAACAAATGTATTCAAGGACTACATATTTTATTTATGATGTAATCACAGCTGAAGGGTTGCTAGCAATGCTTAGCCTTGACTATGTTAACAATAAAACATAGCCTTTTGTGTTAATACTAACAAACAGAAATTTAATAAAATTACAAAAATTATAGAGTATAACAAAACACATTTCTTTTGACCATTTATTCAGACATTCCCTACTAAAACATTATGTACCAAACAGCACAGGTTAGACATGTCATCCTCAGTCTGAGAACTGGCAGAGTTTCTGAAAGCTTCGCTTTTAATCCATGATTTTAAAGGATCAAAATTAGTTTAATGCTGATGTGCCTCAGCAATGAATCTGTAGGAGCAGATTGGAGATGGTGTGGAGTGATTGGAGATGTCCTCTGCTGGGTGAATGCGCTTCTTTCTTGTACTCCTTTCATACTTCTTGTTTTTGGCCTTAAAGTAGAATAGAAATACAAGATCGTTTACCTGGATAAAAACAATTCATTTATACTGGACATTTTCAAG